TAGGCACCGCTCGCGCTTTAGAGTATGTTATGTTATTCAAGAAAATCTGATATTTTCATTCCATGAGAAGGCTATGTTATTCTGGTATTCATTATACTACATGTAACATCTAATTTTCTAGGTACCTGCATGAGGTGTGCCTGCCACCTGTGGTACATAGGACCTTCAAGTCATCTAACATCCTGCTTGATGAAGAGTACAGTCCACATCTGTCTGACTGTGGGCTTGCTGCTCTGTCACCGAATCCTGAGAGAGAGGTAAACAATGTAGCACTATCTGTCAATGGTAATTCTTTCCGAAGCGTTATCTTCAGTTTTTTTTTTCTAGCTGCTACTTGGGCTAAGAAGATATTGCTATGTTATGCCGGTATGCCCAGGTTTCCGCTGAAGTGGTTGGCTCTTTTGGATATAGCGCCCCTGAGTTCGCCATGTCAGGAATATACACTGCAAAGAGCGATGTGTACAGTTTTGGAGTGGTGATGCTAGAGCTGTTGACAGGCCGTAAACCACTAGACAGGTAATATGCCTGCCATTTCTGATCTTGTCATTTGAAGTATTTTTTTGAAGAAATGTCATTTGTAGTATTAGTGAGTGAAACTGGTAGACCAAGCTGACAATTCATTCTGATCTTGTTGCGATTTGGATAACTGTATGTGCCTTCCAGCTCCAGGGAGAGGTCAGAACAGTCTCTTGTCAGATGGGCAACCCCGCAGCTCCACGACATCGATCTACTTGCCAAGATGGTTGATCCGGCACTGGATGGGCTGTACCCTGCCAAGTCCCTCTCCCGTTTCGCCGACATAATCGCGATATGCGTCCAGGTACATTGTTTATCGTTGGTGCTGCGTAAAGTCCATCTCTCTCTCCTTTGTTAAAGCCTTGTATGTTCTTGCACTGCATCACCAGTTTCCGGTTTTAATTGAAATAATAATCATTGTTAGCGACCACCGAGTCCAGTCGTCGAACAACAGCAAGTCAGTCATAAAATAGTTTTTGGCTGGCATGTGAGCTAAACCCCTCTCTTTCAGAGGTGGACTAAGATTGGGATGTTGTGTGGCCAATTTTTGCAGTCGGAGCCGGAGTTCCGCCCGCCAATGTCGGAGGTGGTGCAGCAGCTGGTGCGGCTGATGCAGAGGGCGAACATCATACGCCGGCAATCGGACGATCTGGGCTACTCGTACAGGGTCCCCGACCGCGAAGCCGACGTCCTCTGAAGTTGGTTCAGCTACACTGCGTGTATACTACAAAAGCGCTGCACAGTTTATATATTTAAACAAAAGAAAAGCAGATTGGGGCTGAGGCAGCACCTGGGTCAGGTTACTTTGGAGTTGAGTGCTGCTGGATCCTTGCACGTTTTTATTCTGTCCTCTGTTAGTCTAGTCACCTGTAAATGACTTTTTTTTTTTGGCGACTACCTGTAAATGACATTTGAGTGACATGGATAGCGTTTGGAGTGTACCGGGACTTTTCGTGAGCTGTGAGTGTCATGTATAGTTGTGGGCTCTTGCAAGTGGCAGATATATACTCCGAAGGGGGGAAAAACGTGTCTTTTTTTATGTGTAAAATTCTTTGACAAGCCGCGGACGGTGACCTGCGCGCCGTCCTGCAGCCTTGCTTTGCGGCGAGGGCAAGCCAAGCTTCTCCGATTTGCGGCGCGGCAATTCAGCCAACGCCTTCTGGCTTATCGCATGGAACGCATGGACCATGCAGGCAGGCCATGGTGTTGAGTTCAGCCGCTGGCGCCGATGTCAAACGTGGGGGGATTCGTCGATGCCGACGGCTTTGGGTTGGGGTATCCGTCTTGGGGCTTTGATGGGGTCACCATCCGCCCACTACTATGCTGATGACTTGCCGAGTACTGAAATACGTGCACCGTTCGGGTCATTTCGACTGAAATTGTCCGTTTATACTGCAGCAGTGACACCGAGAATTTTGACCGCCTAGACACCCTGCCGATGCTTGCCGAGTACTGTACCGACTGGAAATTGTCCGGACCGAGGGAGCGAATCTGCGAATGGATTGGGTTGCCAGGCGGGAATGACCGGACGAGCGGTTGGAAGAAGGATTCGACAGGCGTGCCACGACAGTCGACAGGTATAAAATCTCCGCGCCTGCTACGATCACATGCCACCTACGAGAGTGGTTGCACGTCCGTTCAGCCAAGCTTGCACTCAGACTACCTACGCTACTATGCACGTAGCCTTCCGCTGTCACATGTGCGTAGCGTACACCGGGTGGCTATCCCTATTACGCGTAGCCTTAGGGTGGTGGCGACGTAGCCTAGTGGGCAATAGTGGCCATCGCAGTCTCAGGCTCCTGTTGAGAAAAATCAGCGCCCTGTTCATCTAGATCGGTTTATAAAGTTATAGAATATATTGGCATTAAATGTAGCGATTTGGGTTTGGTGGGAAAGAAGAAAAAGCCTAATTAGTCCATGTTTGAACACTATTTACCAAATAAAAATGAAAGTGCTACAAGATTCCAAAATCCAAATTTCATTTAACTAAACAAGGGCTTAGACTTATTTGACTTATAAATGATTAAAGATATCTTTATTGGCTGATTTGGTGTGAGAAAAATATTATTCGTTTACGATAAGTTACTACTTATAAGTCAAAACGACACAACAAACGTAAATTATTATGGCTTATTATAAATACGACCAAATGAGCAGTCGCAAATCGATCAATATAGCGATGAAATTTATAATCGCTACTAAAACTTATAGATTCCCTCCCAATTTAGATTTTTTATCACCGAGTAAATATCATTGTTGTGATTTTCATACAGAACTTGAAAGTCCAGCAAGTTTTATTCCCTTTTACCCTTCCGGACGACACCTTATCCAAACAAAGATTCATTCCTCCCAAAATTCCTCTCTCGCTCCTCTAGCACGGTCCATTGGCCAAGCGACCGGCAGGTGTGCGCACGCGGGCGGGCAGCGGCGAGGGCGAGGCATGGGCAGACGGTGATCGTGGCCAGGGTGCATAGACAGGCGTGTGCGCGCAAACAGGTCAGGGCACAGTCAGGGCACGGGAATCGTCGAACGTTGTACGCTCCTTGAGAAAGGATTTCTACGAAAGTTCCACGCACGTTCGGGACGCGGAACCCGGCACCGTACCACGTTCTCAGTGACTGTGAGGCCTGGGAAAGCGGTGAGAGACGTGGGTGGCATGCGGTGGATGCGAGTGCGGAGTAGCACTTGGGCCGCGTCGACAAACTCGAGTTCACATGATTTGCCAGCTTGGACAATTTGGAAGAGGGCAAAGGCGTGTCAGGGGCATTTTCTGTGGACAGATTTTCTGTGAAAATAATTGAGAGCAACAAGAGCTGGGTTATTTTTAGTGTGGAGGCCTGACTTTATAAAATAGGGGGTGATTTTGGAGTGGCATATAGCCAACTACGGACACTCGCTATGTGACTTTGTAAAATAGCAAGGCTGTTGGGAACCTCTTCTTTTCTAAGAAGTTTCCTATTTTACAAAATAGCTAAACAATAGAATTTAGCTAATAATTTTAGCCAAGCTTTTAGAGTTGCTCTAAGGGCATCCACAACAGTAAGAATCCGTTATTAGCTCTAAGCCAACCTCTCCAATAGTGTTAGCTTTTAAAAGGGCTCATAATATGATTAGACTCACGTGACACTCTCACATTTTCTTAGAACGTGCGTATACGCCTAGCTCTTAATAAGAGCTCGTTTTTCTCTCTCTTCTATTAAAACATGAAAGAGTCACCCGTTGCGGGTGTCCGAGAAACTGTAATTTGTTTGCGCCACATAATTGACTTTTATGTGATTTTTAGTGGCATACAGTGATTTTTAGCCCCCCCGCCCGGCGCCCGCGGCCTGCCTCCCCTCGGCCAGGTCATCATCGCTTGCTCGTCGTCGTACCAACCGCCCTTCCCACCCTCCTCCTGGCCTGGGCCTTGACCGCGCCGCTGTTTTGTTCGCTTGCCAGCTTGCCTGCTTCCTGCCAGTGCCACCTGCTGCACTCCTGCAGACGGACCTCCGCTGCATCTTCACCTGCTCGGCCCACTCGCTCTCGCTCTCCCTCCCCACCATCATCACGCGCTCGCGTGTGCCCCTCGGCCTCCTCCCGCACCGCCGCGTCGCCGCCCGGGACCAGGCCCACCAAGGCCTCGCCTCCGCCTCAGCCGCCTCCCCATCCCGGGCGCGGCCCCTCGGCCTCGGCGGCCGCCCGGCTCGACCCCGCGCCGCGCCCCTCGGCTACGAAGGTGCGTATACAATACATACATACGTTCTCAACCCAGCATCAATCTGTGTACTGCCCCTAGGCTCGCCGCAGGCCAAGCCCAGCAATCCGGACGGCCGACGCGTCGGGTAGCATTTCGCGGATTAAGTCCGTCCCCGATCCTCCAACGATCGATCCGTCGGTACCTTCTTCCTCCCTCTCTTTGCGAGAAGGCGCGTGCTGTGCGTCGAATCATCGATGTGGGAGTTAATCTTCCATGCGCGTCCTGCTCATCCGGCCGAATCCCGAGTCTGATGCTCACCAGCTTCTCTGAATTCGCACGCGAATTGGGAAAGAGTGGAACGGGTGTACCGGCGTATGCCGTATGGTACGGATGAGCAGCAGACGTGGGCCCGGATACCGCGGGGGTTTTTTTTAGATCTAGCACAAGGAATCAAACAGGGATGGTGGATGATGGATGGATGAAAAAGGTGACCACGATGGATAGTGAAAGAGAGGAGACGGGGACAATTTAGTGGCCGTAGCCCTTTTCAAACCCATCCTCAATTAGTAGGCAAGCTTTCCCACACCCCCTGTCCGTCTTGTCAATTCGTTTTGGACGTGGTACGGGGCCTAGCAGCCGGAATCGTTATCACTGTTCACCCCTTGTAGTCTGCGTCGGCGTGGCTGTGCTTATCAGCTCATGCTACATAAATGTGTGTTTTAGCACAATTCAGTCGATGAGTTTATTTTTCTTCTGAAATTTAGTTGGTGCAGGGAGAAGTTGGAGTGGTGGACGGGGCCACAGAGCCATGTCAAGTTCCACGAATTCAACAGTGGCCGCGGAGTTGTCGGTGTCTGAGAAGAGTGGGGATATTGAGCCCCTACCTTTTGTGCATGACAAACATGGAGGCGTCATCATTGAGATGACGACCCCGATGGACCCTGGAGTGTTTTCAGCTTCCTTGAAAGCAGCGCTGGCGAAATGGAGGGAGCAGGTGATCCCCCCTCAACATCAATGTTATATCCTGTCATGCTGAGATGGCTTGTCCAAAAAATGCTATTGGCCTCTAATTTGATATAGTGCATGCCAAGTAAACATCCCAACATTTAAATTTTGAACTGTGGAAATTTGCTGCAAAGATCCTGGAAGCACCTTTATACGGTAGGATTGGTAGGTGAAAAAAATTGGTACCGGGCGTAATGACTATTTAAAGACTATTTTAAAGGTTTAAGTACACTGTAATATCTTCTGTGAACCTTGAGGAGCCATCAACCATATGCAAGGCATGTGATATAGACATGCGGAGATTACTGTACTTGCACATTATTATTACCAATTCTAGTTGTTCATGGGTACCTCAAGAAGGAGAGATGAGGTTACAGATGCATAGCCTGCACTTACTTGTCATTGAAATAGGATTTTATATAAGAGCTTTACATTTATTACTGTTCTTTCCTCATTGTAGGGAATAAGAGGTGTCTGGATCAAATTGCCCATCACCCTTTCCAACCTTATTCCACCAGTTGTAGAGGTAATTAAACTCACATTTTCCATGTTTATACTAGTGTAACTAGTTTCTTGATGTAACTTGTATATTTCAAAGTGAAGTATTTTATTACACTATTTGAATGACCTGAATTCAATTTTTGTTTTGTTTTGATAGTAGTTGGTAACGGCAACGCTCACAGTTTGCTAACTATGTCTTTTCGATGACCTTTTGTCTTTTCAGGAGAAATAGTTGGAAATGATCATACTGTGTAGTATAGTCTAACAGTATGGAAGGATTCATATTGAGTTTGCCCCTGAAAAATGTTTTTACCTCATTGTGTATGTAGGAAGGTTTCTGGTACCATCATGCAGAGGAAACTTACTTGATGCTTGCATACTGGCTTCCAAATACAACACATACACTACCAGTAAACGCAACCCACCGCGTTAGTGTTGGAGCTTTTATAATGAATGACAAGAGAGAGGTAAAAAATGAATGTGATAATTATTAGGATTTAGCTTGTTACTGTTCGGTTACCTCCTTTACGAACTCTAAAGCATATATCAATCGTTATGAGTTATGACACAGGACATTCTGTTAGGCATTATCCATAGATAAAGCTTTTATCCTCCATACCCTGAAATTCCTATTTTTTGCAGATCTTGGCTGTACAAGAAAAGAGTGGTGTGCTTCGAGGCCTAGGTGTGTGGAAATTTCCAACTGGTGTAGTTGAACCGGTAAATTCTCCACTGAACATGTAGATATATTAAGTATATTCTTTACCAACTTGTCCTATTATAATTCACAAGATATTGGTATATATACAGGGGGAAGATATTAATGTTGGAGCCGTAAGAGAAGTAAAAGAAGAGACAGGGGTATGTACTAGTGTGAACAGAAGCCCAAGTTGTTTCCAATAGACTAGTTTGATTAAATGCTGCCATTGGTTGCTCATTCTTTTTTCCTTTCTGGATCATATCTCAGATTGATGCAGAATTTGTTGAAGTCCTGGCCTTCAGGTAACGACTGGATTCTAGTCCCAGTTCTTCCTGTATTTATCTAGTACTGATTTACCAACTATCTTGTCACTTAGCTTTATTGCCCATTTGCGGAATATACCAACAACACCAAAAAAAGAGATGTATTGTGCAACAAAATATGTGCAGACATTTTTAATTCATAGCTAGAGAACCAAAAAAAGAAAAGAAAATGGCAGTGTTTTCCATTTCTGTTCATTATGAATTTTTCCTAAGACCTGTTTTCCTTTCTTTTTTTCATTCTCTTGACGCAATCTATTGTGATGACAGTGTTTAGTTTGAAATAAAACATCCCTCCATCATTTGCAGGCAGAGCCACAAATCGTTTTTTGATAAATCGGATCTATTTTTCGTGTGCCTGCTTAAACCACTTTCATATGACATTACGAAGCAAGACTCGGAAATAGAGGCATGCCAGGTATTTGGAACCAACATTTTAATGTTTATTTCAAACAGAAAACCCCCATAATATTAAAAGTTTACTTCAGTCCTTCCAACTCAAGCACCATTTGACCAAATGCTTTGATACTGCACTTCTCCATTGCAGTGGATGCCAATAGAGGAATTTGCAGCGCAACCATTTCTCCAGAAACATGAGCTTGCGAAGTACATCCTCGAAGTAGGCCTGGCTAAAGTTGACAAGGAATATGCAGGGTTTTCGCCAATCTCCATAAAATCAGCATTTACAGACAAATTGTCCTTATTTTACATGAACCAGGACAGGGCCTCAGGATAGAGTAATATGTAATTAGAGTGAATTCAAGATAGTGAAATTTCACTTTTGGTATGTGAAAGCGAGCTAAGTCCTTCATACTTGGTTATTTTGTTCACAAATCGGTAGCTTGGGGCATCGGGCACTTGTGATTTTTTACCATATGTCGTCTGCTATACGTCTGTGTGTCAAAAGAGTATCGCAATCCAAAAGTACAGCTGAAACTGTTGTACTTATGGATTTGTATTTGTAGGTCTACATACATAATAAAACGGTGGTTTCCTTTATATATAAAAAAACGCTGAAGTGCTTTTGTTCCGGTTAGTTTCGATCTAGATGTTCAGATGCTTCTGTTATCTTTCTCTCTCTCTTTTAGAAAGACAGTAAAAGCTTTGCCACGATTTTTATTTATCTTTCTCTCACTTCCTGCTCAAACATTGGGATTTCCGTTATGCTTTAATGAAAATGGGATCTGAAAAAAAAAATATGAATATCTGGAAAAAAAAATATATGAAAAACGCTGGTTAGACTTAACACAGGAGGTTTTTGTTTGGTTTGTGTTAGAATTAATTTCTCCTTTACTGTAATCTCCTAGCTACCCGTGTAATCCCCTAGCTACCTGTGCCGCCTGCCAGGCTGGGCTGGCCCTTTCGGCTGTCTCCAATCTCTATATAAGTGTAAACCCTATGTAATCTATTGATTAAGGAATATTAAGCTGGTTTGGCCTTCCTCTAATATGGTATCAGACTAATTACGTTCCCTGTTTTCCGCTCCACCCGTGCCGCGCCTGACTCCTCGCATCGCGCACGCCTCAGGCAGCGCCCGCGCGTCTGCTCCGCGCCCGCCGCGTGAGCCTCCGCACCCGTCGCGCGCCCATGGCCGCCCCTCCTTCCGGCGGCTCGAGCTCGGGCGCATCCGCCGCGGCCACCGCAACGAAGCCCCGCGATGAGGCCCTTGTTGCCGCCCAGAAGCTCGAGACCGAGGCTGCTTCTCTACGCACCACCGAGGAGCGCAGCCTGCAAATCCAAGCGGAGGCCGACCTCCTCAAGTCCGCCGTCGCCGCCCAGGAGCGCGTCCGCGCCGCCGCCGCCGCCCTTGACAAGGAGCGCGCGCAGGCTGACACCCTTGAGCAGCAGGCCGCCGCTCTCCGGGATCGCCTTCGCACCGACTCCTAGCGCGACGACGACGTCCGCTCTGTCACCTCCGAGGCCGCGGCCATCGCTCACCTGCACAGCCAGGTCGCCGCGGTCCAAAACATCAAGAATTTGATTCCAATCATTCTTGATCTCCAGTCATCCAATTATTCCAAGTGGCGCGTGAAAGCTCTAGTTTGGTTTTGGTGAATTGATAAAACCCTAAGTGCTAACCCAGTTTGTCAAGTGATCATGATATAGGTAGCACACTCCAAGTGGTGAAGCAAATGAAGATCATAACATGATGATTGTGATGCCATGGTGATGATCAAGTGCTCGGACTTGGAAAAAGAAGAAAGAGAAAAACAAAAAGCTCAAGGCAAAAGTATAAACCATAGGAGCTATTTTGTTTTGGTGATCAAGACACTTAGAGAGTGTGATCACATTTAGGATCGATAGCCGTACTATTAAGAGAGGTGAAACTTGTATCGGAATGCGGTTATCAAAGTGCCACTAGATGTTCTAACTCATTGCATATGCATTTAGGATCTAGTGGAGTGCTAACACCATTAAAAATGTTTGTGAAAATATGCTAACACATTTGCACAAGGTGATACACTTGGTGGTTGGCGCATTTGATCAAGGGTGGTGAAGTTTAGGTGCAAGGGTAAGAAACTCCACCGGCGCCCTAGACAGAAAAGACAGAGGTCACTAGAAGTGACCGGACACTGGTCGTACAGCGACCGGACGCTGGTGGCTGCGTCCGGTGCTGTTGTCGGGCGGAGCAGCAGACAGATACCTAGCGACCGGGCGCTGTCAGGGTCCGGTCGACAAAAGTCGGTTTTGGAACCTTACTGTAAACGACCGGACGTTGGGGGTTCAGCGTCCGGTCAACTTCAGCGCAGTGTCCGGTCAAGGCAAATGACTGTTGAAATCGGTACACGTGGCTAACAGCGAGCGACCGGACGCTGGGGGCTCAGCGTCCGGTCAACTGACCGGAGCGTCCGGTCACCCCGCGTTTTACCCAGTGAAGGGGTACAACGGCTCTATTTCGTGGGGGCTTCTATTTAAGCCCCATGGCCGGCTCAAGCTCACTCTCTTGGCCATTTGCATTGACATAGCAACCTTGTGAGCTTAGCCAAAGCCCTCCCACTCATTTCCATCATAGATTAAACATCTTTGTGAGATTGGGAGAGAATCCAAGTGCATTGCTTGAGTGTTTGCATCTAGAGGCACTTGGTGTTCGTGTTTCGCTGCGGGATTCGCTTGTTACTCTTGGTGGTTGCCGCCACCTAGACGGCTTGGAGCAGCGAGGATCGTTAAGCGGAGGGTGGTGATTGTCTCCGACTCTGATCGTGGTGATTGTGAGGGGTTCTTGACCTTTCCCCGACGGAGCGCCAAAAGGTACTCTAGTGGATTGCTCGTGGCTTGTGTGATCCTCATCTTGTGTTGGTTGTGCGGCACCCTATTGAGGGTTTGGCGTGTGAAGCCAATTAGCGCGTGAACCTCCAAGTGAGTGAATCGCCACAACGAGGACTAGCTTGCCGGCAAGCAAGTGAACATCGGTAAAAAATCTTTGTGTTCATCATTGATTCCGATGTGATTGGTCTTCATTGTTATCCACACTTGTGATTGATTGGTTCATACATCTACATGGCGGTATAACCTTCTTGCCTACTCCTTACCTTACCGCAAATTAGTTGTTAAGCTCTTTAGTGTAGCTAGTTGTGAGAGCTTATTTGCTTGGTTGGTGTGGCTCTTTAGTTAGCCTTTGAGAGCATACTAACTTAGTGTAGTGATATAGCTATTGTGTGGATATACTTCATCTAAACTAGAATTGTGGTAGGTGGCTTGCATTTTGGTAGGCTAGCGCATAACTCGCTTCGCCTCATAATTGTCTAATCCTTTTGTTAAGTATTGTTGTAAAATTTTATTAGGCTATTCACCCTCCCTCTAGCCATTAGGACCTTTCAAGTGGTATCAGAGCCGAGGTCACCGTTATTTGAGGCTTAACAACCTTCGGTGTTAAAATGGCTCAAATCAACAACACTAAGAAGCCACCCCAATTTGATGGCTCAAATTATCCCTATTGGAAGGCTAAGATGACAACATATATCAAGTCAATCAATAGGAAGATTTGGAAGGTGGTAGAAACAAAATTTGAGATAGAAGATGAAGAGGCTCCCACCGCCGCCGAAGAATTGCTACTCCAAAACAATGACATTGCTCTTAGTGCCATCCATGATGCTTTGGATGAGAGAACATTTGAGCAAATCAAGAACATTGAGAGAGCTCATGAGGCATGAAAGAAATTGGAAGAATCATTTGAGGGCACCAAGGCAATCAAGGGTGCAAACTGCAAAGGCATACATTTTCAAGGATAAATTTGCTAGTTTCAAGATGAAGAAAGATGAGAGTGTGCCGGACATGTTCCATCGGATGGAAGTGATTGTAAATGATCTCAAGGCACTTGGTGAGAAGATAGAGGACAAGAAATTCTCAAATAAGTTCTTGAGATGCTTACCCTCAAGATTTGGTACATTGGTCACTATTCTAGTGAGGTCCGGTTTGGATACAATGACACCAAATTAAATCTTGGGAGATATCATGACCGATGATGCTTATAGAGATGATGATGAGAAGGAAGAAAAGAGGGAGAAGAAAGATGAGAAGAATAAGAGTGTGGCATTCAAGGCCACATCATCTAAGAGCAAGGCAAAGTAAGAAACATCAAGTGAAGATGATAGTTCATTTGATGAGATGGATGATGAGAAGATGGCTCTCTTTGTCAAGAAATTTGGCAAGTTCATGATGAAGAAAGGGTACCGTGCTAGAAGAAAGAAGTCTTCATCCAAGAACAAAGAAGAGTCAAGAAGGTGCTTCAAGTGTGGAAGCAAAGATCATCTTGTTGCTCAATATCCATACAATAGCGACAATGATGATGACAAGAAGAAGAACAAGAAGAAGGACAAGAAGGAAAAGAAAGAGAAGGACAAGATGACCTTCAAGAAGAAGAAGGGTGGTTCATATGTGGTCACTTGGGATAGTGATGCTTCCTCAAGTGATGATGATGATGATGATAGTGATGATCACAAGACCACCAAGAAGAAGGCACTTGCAAGCATTGCTATCAATGAGAAGCCTTCTCTCTTCGACTCTTCATCATGCTTCATGGCTAAGGCCACTAAGGTACAAACTTGTGATGATGAAAGTGATGAAGAACATGATGATGATAATGAACATGATAATAAAAATGATAGTGATAGTGATAATGATGAACCTACTAAGGATGAACTATTTGACATGCTAGAAGATGCTAAAGAACACTTTGACATCAAGAGAAGGGAATGCAAAAGCTTGCGTAAGGAACTAAAAGCCCTTAAGAAAGCCTTTGATGAGCTCAATACATCTCATGAGAGGCTAGAGGAAGCCAATGAAAAGCTTGGCAAAGCTCACAAAAAAGCTTGAAAAGACTCATTCCTCTTTGCTTGATGAGCAAAATAAAAAAAGCATGTTGATACTTGTGATGTAGGTTTAACTTGTGACATAATTGATGAATCACTATCTATGCCTATCATTGCTCCTTCTACTAACCCTTCTTGTAGTACTTCCACTTCCACCTCATCTAGTGGTGATGGTCTCACTTGTGATGCCTCACTAGTGGTTGAGAATGAGAATCTCAAGAAGGAGGTTAACAAGCTCACTCACACTTTGGCTAAGGCCTATGGTAGTGAGGACCGTTTGCTTATGTGCTTGGATAGCCAAAGAGCTTCTCTCTACAAAGAGGGATTGGGCTATACCCCCAAAAAAGGCAAGGCGGCCTTTGCTCCTCACAAGACTAGTTTTGTGAAGAACAATGGTCGGTTTTGCACTAGTTGCAAGCAAGTTGGT